TCTCTTTCAATATATGGCAAATCTGCTCTCATATAGCTTCTATACTTTCTTCTTCAACATCCCTATAACTCAATTACTTCATACCTCTGTACTCTGTTCACACCTTTTTGTCTTCCTAAGAATGTTACCACTACCACCTACCCTACCTCTCTACCTGCACAAAATCCATCCATCCCTAGAGGTCATTTAGCTACAATATGTGAATGTTTCTTTAATCATGTCACATATGCTGGCAGGATTTCTCCCTCCTCAGAACTCAAAAATTTCGTCTCTGCCATCATTGGCCCGTGATGTCTCCTGATGATTTTATTATTTAATCAACTAGTTTTGTTTTTAGAAAAGTGGTATGTTTTGTATAATCCATAGTATCTTTAATAGTTTTTTTATGCACTATACATCATTACTTTTTTAGTGACTATAAAAGGTCAAGAAAAAAAATAACAACACTAGAAAATATAGCCATTAGTTTTATTCCTTTTGCACCGAAGCCTAAAATATGAAATATAAGATGTGAAAGTTTCTAAGTGCCCAAGAGATTGGATTCTCTAGGACAAATAAGTCATGCTCTGCCCAAAGTTTAGAGAGAATCCAGCTAAATCCCAGTTTAATTCTTTGTTTTGAAGCCAAATGTGTTCAGATTGAAAATGATCCAGTTTAGAATCTATGAATGGGGACAGGGAGTTCCTGAACCCTGGGCAAGATTTTAAATAACCTACTGGAAATCATAAATCTAACAATAAAACTTTTCTGGCTAAAACAACACAGCTCTTTGCATTTCACCAGAACTACAAGAACTCAGTGCAATGATACTAGTGACCATTCAGAAGCCAAAACCTCTAACATGTCAGCTACATTTCTGATTAGTTAAAAAAGAAACTGAATTAGCATTTCGCAAATGAAACATTTTTATAACAAATAAAATATTTTAAAACAAGAATTAGAAAAATATTAGTATTAGAAGAAACAATGGACTGGGCTTGGTGGCTCAGCCTTAATCCTGTGCTTTGGGAGCCTGAGGTGAGTGTATTGCCTGAGCCCGCGGGTTCAAGACCCACCTGGACAACTTGGCGTGACCTCATCTCTACAATAAATCAAAAAAATCAGCTGGGCGTGGTAGCGCGCACTTGTAATTCCAGCTACTTGGAAAGCTGAGGCAGAAGGATTGCCGGAGCCCAGCAGGTTGAGGCTGTGGTGGCCGAGAGCGGGCACTGCACTCCAGTCTGAGCAACAGAATGAGACTCCAACTCAAAAACAAACAAACAAACAAACAAAAACAATGAAAACCTTTTTAGGTGGTCATAGGAAGAAAGCTCCAAGGAACTTAAAGATAGGGAAGATCGTCTTAGTAATAGTCCATGTACCAGGTCCTTACTGTGTGCTTTACAGAAGTTTTCATATTAATTCCCACAACCAAATGAAGGTAAATAGTATTCCCTCACTTAACAGTGAAGAAACGGAACTCAAGAGTTTAGTTGTTTGTCCAAAGCTGCCCAGCTGGTAAGTAGTACGGCCAAGAACCAAATTCCAGGCAATCAACTCCAAAACTTCACTGCCAGGCTGATGGTGGAAAATTTTGTTTCAATTCCTTAATATTAGTGCAAAGTGTGGTTCTACAGACATCCTGTTGTTGGGCTGTGGCAGGATTTTATTTAGAGTTGGGACACCAAGGCCAGGAAGCAGTTTTATTTGTGCTGGTACTGGAGCAGCGGATTTACATCTAAAGGCTGAGCACTGAGCATGGGGAGGCATTGTCTTTTATATAATTTTAGCTTTTTTGTCCCCCCCATAAGGCTTACATATTAGTAACATACAGGCTAATCAGGTATTTTACAGTTCAAGGTTACAGTAGAGTTACACATGTGTACTACAGATTGGGGTTACATTTTTTTTAACATGAATCTTTTAATAAAGTTTTTATCTTATGGTGTTAGAACTTTTTTATTATTTTGGAAAGACTTTTATCTTACTATACTAAGGGGGTCCCTACTCTGTCCTGGGAAGGTCTTTATCTTATTAGGCTTGGGGGTAGGGCTCCCTGCCTCAGGGTGTTTTCTGGAAAATCTAAATAAGGAATGACTCTGTCTCAAGGTTCAAACCTACCTAAAACAAAGGCCAGAACACAGATGGAATTCAACAATATTCTCTTGCAATCTTCTCTGCTAGCTTGGATTATATGACTTCATCACAGGGGCAAAACCAACACAATGGTGATTCCTGTCATGGAACTCTAATAGCAAAAAGGAAGACAGGATTACATCACCATTAACTCCCTCAGAATTAGGTAAAGGAGGCAAACCAACATGTCTAGTTATTTATTTACTGAACATGAAAGCAACTCAGCCTAGCAACCGTAAGAATCTGTTGGCTCTCAGGGGTTACACAAATTGAAAGAGTTTTTGAAAGGTAGGTCTCAGAAAAAATTGGCTAGCATCTTTGGAAGACTATTTAAGAAAATGAGAGACAAAGAGTCTCATTCAAAGGAGGCAGCCAAATTCAACATAGGTAGACGTCTGCATGCCACCTGCCTCTTCTCCTGAATTATAGCCAACTTAAAGCTGTCATTTTAGTTAGTGCTGAAATTCATCCAGTAATGTGAAAGTCAGCTACAGTGCTATTATATGCATAAATCTTTATTTGCATTAGAAAGGCATCAATTACTTCATGCTACAATGTGTAATTAAGAAGTAAATGTATTATTTTGCTTAACCTTACAAGATACTGCATTACTGCAAGAATAAAAGTTGTGAATTTTAACTAAGTCACATTTCAATGTTGAATACAAGAAAGTCTTCCATTGACCTGAACCATGTCCCTTACATGGTAAGGAACTAGAGAACACATAGTAATTTGACTAGTGATTGTATTCTAAAGTTAAAAACAAAATCACCACTCAATTTATTAGAAGGCACTAGAAACAGCGTGGAATAAATGACTTTCACACAGAACCAAATGTGAAAGGAATTCAGAAATTGGGATAATGTTTCTCTCAATGAAGAAAAAGAAAGGTTTGTTCTTTTGGTAAACTGCTAAGCGTCTATTATAGACTAAGGACAATACTAGGTTCTTGGGACCTTAGCGGGTGAAAATAAAGAAGAGATAATTAATCAAGGAAATTTCCAAAGAAGGTAGGACAACTTTACCAGATTTGAGGGAAAGGGATGAAATAGGATGAGGACACAGGTGGCCAAGACTGCCTCTTTTCTGTGAAGAGGGGAAGCTAGGGGCTGGGAGGTGGTATAGGAAGGAAGGTAGCCAAAAAAAAGGTTTCGGTGACAGGGTTAAGAATAGTTACTGTGCAGTACAGATGGAAAGGCTCTCTATAAAGCAAGTTCCACGACTATCAGCCACTAACCCTTGGGCAGTAAGCAATTACAGAGGTAGTTCAACCCCCGGGGCAGTAAGTAATTACAGAGGTAGTTCAAGGACGAAAGTATGTGGCAGGTGGATCAAACGTCAGAATGCCATTAAGGAGATCTGTATGACCTTAGGCCTGTTGTTTAAGGGAAAATATGTTTAGCTTTCCCATCCCCACGGGTCAGGACAGGAAGATAATCAATAGCTCTCTACTGAAGCGGCTGTGTAAACAATCGTGCAGGGAGGAGAGCAAACTTAGAAACAGCAGATTCGTTCATCTTCTAACCATAACCATAGCGGCAGCTTTGCAGGGCTCAGGTCTCCTCTACAGCTTTTACCACGTAGCTCTACATTCATTTTATAAAAGCGGTTTCAACTGGACACATGTATTAGAACCACAATTTGAAAACATTGCAGTGGCTCCTGTGTGTAATCCTAGAATTCTGGGAGGCCGAGGCGGGAGGACTGCTTGAGCCCAGGCGTTAGAGACCAGCTGGGGCAACACAGCGAGACCTCGTCTCTAAAATAAATAATAATAAATACGAATAATAAAAAATTAGCCGGGCGTGGTGGCGCATGCCCGCGGTCCCAGCTATTCGGGAGGCTGAGGTGTGAAGATTCACTTGAGGCCAGGAGCTGTAGGCTGCAATGAGCCGGGTTCGTGCCACAGCACTCCAGTCTAGGCGACAGAGACACCGACTCAACACAACAAAAACAAAACAAACACCTTTGCAGACTTCACCCTCCTCCATCCTAACTAGTCGCCTAATTTGGGGCAAGCCGCTCCGCCCGACGCGGAAAACAAACGCAAGCTGCTCGCTGGACCAAGGGGTCCGCTTTTCCTCACCCCGAAGGAAGCGGCTGCAGCAGGTGACCTAGAGCTCCGCCAGCCAAGCAAGCCCAGGTGACGCCGGCGGGGCCACCCAGGTGCGTCGCTGGGGAGCTCGCGGCGGCGCGAGGCTGCCCGACGCGACCCCCACCTCGCCTCCTATGTCTCTCGAGTCACGCCCGCAGCCCCACACGGATCACCACGTGTCTGGCCATGCCCGCCTGGCCATCCTCGCCTCAGTGCCTCCACAATCCCAGCCCAGCCGGCCTCTCGGCGGACACTGGCACGCGAACCACCCCAAGCGCGCACCGCGGCCGCCAAGGGAGCAACGCGCGGAAGCCGGGGCCACCGGCGCCGGTTCCGCCTCGGAGGCCGCCACGTGCGTGCGCGCATGCGTGAGACGAGCGCGCCCCGCCCGGCGCCGGGCTCCGAGGAGCTGAGCGCATGCGCAGCGTGACGCCTCGGGGCCGGCGGAAGGCGGTGCTGCTGCCGAAGGCTCCGGCGCGCTTGCGCAATAGCTGAACGCGGGCGTTTCTTTCCTCCCTTTTTTTCGAATTGGTTTTGGGGGTAGATTCGAGTTACAAAATGGCGGCTCGGAGCTCGGTCGGCGCTGTTTTACTGGCGGTCTCGGGCTGAGCGGACGGCTCCCCCAGCTCACTGCCGAACACAGAGAGACGGGTCCCCGGGGGACATGGTGTTGGAGACTCCGGGCTTGCTGAGCACGACTCCTTCCAGGCTCTCCGCGCGCCAGAAGCCACCGAGCGCGCTCCGCCGGGCGACCCACTGCCGCTTCAGCCCCGAGCGCCGCGACCTCGGCCCGGCTCGCTCCCGGACTTGGCCGCGCCCACGATCCTGCGAGTGCCGCGGCGGCCGCCGGGGAGGTGAGAGGCGGCGGCCAGCGCGCGAGGGTCAGGGGCCGGGTGGGGGGGTTCGCG